GTCCCTAGAGACTCGCCCGGAACTGGAGCTCAGAGCCTGAGACTCCATCCCGATTGAAAACGACAACCACGCCCTCAGCCGCCAGCCCGCTCCGCATGCACTCCGCACCTTAGTATTTTACTTCAGCACCGCGCCTCCTCTGAGTCTTGGTATGCTTTTCTCCTTCCTCCTAGTTGTAGAACTTCCACTCAGCCAGCCTTCCTGTGGTTCTGGATGATGTCCGTTCTGTCTTTTAATTGTATTTTTGAAGTGGTTGTTCGAGGCAGCAAACTCCGGTGTTTACCTATACCGCCATCTTGGTTTCTCTCGGTTTTTGAATTCTTTTTTTTTTTTTTTTTTATATGAGGTTTATTTTTTTTTAATTAAATCTTTATTGTTCAGATTATTACATTTGTTCCTCTTTTCCCCCCCATAACTCCCCTCCTCCAAGTTCCCGCCCCACCCTCCGCCCTCACTCCCCACCCACTGTCCTCATCCATAGGTGCACGATTTTTGTCCAGTCTCTTCCCGCATCTCCCACACCCCTTTCCCCCCCAAGAATAGTCAGTCCATTCCCTTTCTATGTCCCTGATTCTATTATAATCAACAGTTCATTCTGTTCATCAGATTATTTATTCACTTGATTCTTAGATTCACTTGTTGATAGATGCATGTTTGTTGTTCATAATTTGTATCTTTACCTTTTTCTTCCTCTTCCTCTTCTTAAAGGATACCTTTCAGCATTTCATATAATCCTGGTTTGGTGGTGATGAACTCCTTTAGCTTTTCCTTATCTGTGAAGCTCTTTATCTGACCTTCCATTCTGAATGATAGCTTTGCTGGATAAAGTAATCTTGGTTGTTGGTTCTTGGTATTCATCACTTTGAATATTTCTTGCCACTCCCTTCTGGCCTGCAAAGTTTCTGTTGAGAAATCAGCTGACAGTCGTATGGGTATTCCCTTGTAGGTAACTGAGTTTCTTTCTCTTGCTGTTTTTAAGATTCTCTCTTTATCTTTTGCTCTTGGCATTTTAATTATGATGTGTCTTGGTGTGGTCCTCTTTGGATTCCTTTTGTTTGGGGTTCTCCGCGCTTCTTGGACCTGTAAGTCCATTTCTTTCACCAGGTGGGGGAAGTTTTCTGTCATTATTTCTTCAAATAGGTTTTCAATATCTTGCTCTCTCTCATCTTCTGGCACCCCTATAATTCTGATGTTGGTATGCTTGAAGCTGTCCCAGAGGCTCCTTACACTATCCTCGCATTTTTGGATTCTTTTTTCATTTTGCTTTTCCGGTTGGGTGTTTTTTGCTTCCTCGCATTTCAAATCATTGACTTGATTCTTGCGCTCCTCTGGTCTGCTGTCGGGAGTCTATAATATTCATTATTTCAGTCCGTGTATGCTTAATTTCTAGTTGGTTCCCCAATATAGCATCGAGGGTCTCATTAGTTTTCTTGTAGATCTCATTAAGTTTATCGGCGGCTTCTAAACAGTTCTTGAGAGACCTTAAAAGTGTGGTTCTGAACTCTATATCTTCCATTGACAATTTTGTCCTGTTTCTTTGTCTCCGCATTTTGTTATGCTTCCTTGGTGCACCCCCTAGTGGTCTTTGTTCGCAGTCTTATAATTAAACCTTGATTGTTGTAGCTAATACCAGGGAGGGTTTGACCTCCAGGCCAGGTGGCTATGAGAATCAGCTGTGTCAGCAGTGAGAGAACTTCTGTCCTCTAGGGAGGTGCTAATCTAGCCTTTGCCTGAGGCTATCCGGCAAATGCCTCTGTGCAGGGCTTGGGCGGGGCGGGTCGCACGGGATCAACAGGGTGGGCCGGAGAGAGCAGTTATGGCGGCTCTCAGTCCTGTCCCCAGGGGCTCTGCCTCTCTGAGTCCCAGCACCCGCTGCAAAGCTCGGAGAGAAAGCTGCACTCGCTCTGACCGAAGCCAGACAGTCCCGCTTCTCCCGTTTGAGTCTGGGTCCCTAAAGACTCGCCCGGATCTGGAGCTCAGAGTCTGCGACTCCCTCCCGACTGAAAACTCCAACCGCGCCCTCCGCCGCCAGCCCGCTCGCGCACTCCGCACCTCAGAATTTGACTTCAGCACTGCGCCTCCTCTGAGTGTCCGTATGCGTTTCTCTTTCCTCCTAGTTGTAGGACTTCCACTCAGCCAGCGTTCCTGTGGTTCTGGGTGATGTCCGTTCCGTCTTTTAGTTTCACTTTTGAAGTAGTTGTTCAAAGCAGCAAACTCCAGCGTTAACTTATGCCGCCATCTTGGTTCCCTCGGTTTTTGAATTCTTTATCAGGCAAATTACTTATCTCCATTTTATTAGCATCTTTCTCATTCTTTCACTTGGGGCATATTCTTATACAGGCAGACCTCGGGTTATGTCACCATCTCCCATCTAATCTAATAAAAGAGAAACATGCAAATTGACCGCACCTCCGTTATGCCCCAAGCCATGCCCACCAGCCAATCAGTAACTATATGCAAATTAACCCAACCAAGATGGAGCAAGCAGGAGGCTTGGTTGCCCCGGTGATGGAGGAAGCCAAGCTTCCCGCCTGCCCTGGCCGGCTGTGGCCTCCGCTCAAGGCAACAAAGTTTCAATTATAGAAGATAAATAAGTCCAAGATACCTGCTTCCAGCCAGCCTCCACTGGGAGCCTGCAAACAGCCATAAGCCTCTCACCCAGGATGGCCACACCCTCATGGGGTGAGGGTCCCCACTGGGGGGCTTGGCCAGCCTGCAAACAACCATCAGTCCCTCACCCAGGCTGGCCAGGCACCCCAGCAGGACCCCCCACCCTGAAGAGGGTGTGGCCAGTCTGAAAACGGCCAACAGCCCCTCACCCAGGCTGGCCAGTTACACCAACGGGGACCCCCACCCTGAAGAGGGTGTGGCCAACCTGCAAATAGCAATCAGCCCCTCAACCAGGCTGGCCAGGCACCCCAGCAGGACCCCCCTCCCTGAAGGGGGTGTGGCCCGTCTGAAAACGGCCCTCAGCCCCTTACCCAGGCTGGCCAGGCACCCCACGGGACCCCCACCCTGATCCGCGACACCCTTCAGGGCAAACCAGCCGGTCCCCACCCGTGCACCAGGCCTCTGTCCTACATAATAAAAGGGTAATATGCAAATTGACCCTAACAGCAGAACGACTGGGAATGACTGGTCACTATGACACACACTGACCACCAGGGGGCAGATGCTCAACGCAGGAGCTGCCCCCTGGTGGTCAGTGTGCTCTCACAGGCTGAGCTCTGCTCAGCCACAAGCCAGGCTGATGGCTGCCAGTTCAGCAGTGGTGGTGGGAGCCTCTCCCGCCTCCTCAGCAGCGCTAAGGATGTCCAACTGCAGTTTAGGCCTGCTCCCCACTGGCAAGTAGACATCCCCCGAGGGCTCCTGGGCTGCCAGAGGGATGTCTGATTGCCAGCTTAGGCCTAATCCCCTGGGAAGTGGGCCTAAGCCAGCAGGTGGTCCCAGACGGTGAGGGCACAGGCCGGGCTGAGGGACCCCCGAGTGCACAAATTTTTGTGAACCCGGCCTCTAGTTTATTTACCAAAAAAAAAAGTTCCGTCATTTTGACGTAGGTACGTATGTGCTTTATGTATTTTATTATTTGTTTACCACAAGTAAATGTCAGGAGTTGTTATCTTTTTTTAAAAATGTTTTTATTGTTTCATTTTTAATTACTGCTGTGTATGTGCTCCATGTAAGTGAAATAGGTGCTTATGTAGGTTGGACCGCGCTACGTTGCGCTGTAGGAACAGATCTCTGATGTAACCCGAGGACCTACTATATCTCCCCATTTTACCTGACTTTCTGTGTTTATTTCTATGAATTAGATGAAATAGCTATTTCTCCCAATCTTGAAAAAGTGGCCTCTGGCCCTGGCCATTGTGCTTCAGTTGGTTGGACATGGTCCCATGCACCAAGTGTCACGAGTTTGATTACTGGTCAGGGCACATGCCTGGGTTGCTGGCTTAATCTCCAGTAGGGGGCATGTAGGAGGCAGCTGATTGATGTTTCTCACATTGTTGTTTCTCTCTCTCCCTCTGTCTCTAAAAACCAGTAAAACCATATATATTTTTTTAAAGTGGCCTCTGTGTAGACTGTGTGCTGGGCTGTTTGGCAGGCTGCTGGTCATCTGGTTGGGTGTGCTCAGGGCCTGGTGTGCTGCCTGGCCAGGTGTGGATTTCTGGTGAGGGAGGCATCCTGGTGTTTGCCTGCCTCTTTGCCCTGGGTACCTGGGTGGCCTGCTCAGTATCCAGGTGTCCATAAGGTGCTTGCTGTTGCTTTTGTTGTCTGTTGCACAAGCTGGGTCTCAGCAGGGTTGCTTGGGTATGCACATGACAGCCCTACTAGCTCTGTACTCTCTCCAGGCGGCAAGCTCGGCACACACCCAGTGGGAGGATGCAGCACCCTCATGTGCCTGCTGGATTAATCTCCAGGTGGTGGCGCTAGTCCAGGTGGGGTGGCTGGGTTTGCATTACGGTTGCCCTGCAGGTAAACCCAAGACCCTGGATAGAGCTCCCACCCACTATCACGTGAAGGGGAAATGTAAACAGTGACTCTCACTGTTCCTCCGGTCCTGGAGAGCTCCCCAGCTCCCAAGAGCGTGCTCGGTTCCCAGCATTCTCTGCGGTCTCTCCTGATTGTGGTGCAGAAGCTGCGCAGTTGGCCCTCAGTTGTTTCTCAGGAGGAATTGCTCTACTGTACTGTACATCCCATGTGACCTTGAGAGGGCAGCTCAGTGTCCTCCTATGCCACCTTCTTGGATCTGCCTCTTGAAAATTCATTTTTAAGGAAAGGCTCAGCAAGGAGAAGTGAGGCCTGCCTGCTTTCAGGCTCAGGGATCACAATCCTTAAGATGCTCAGAGCTCCTTCAGACAAATGCCTTCCCCAAGTTGCAGCTGAGTAAAGCTATGCTCTCCTGTCACCCTCCAGTCCCTCTGCCCCTTTGTTCTGGGTTTTAAGCTCAAAGGATAACTTCTGTGTCTCATTTCTTTTTGTCTTTCCTCCCTCTTGCTCAGGTGAGGCGAAAAGCCTTGCAGGAAGAAATTGATCGTGAGTCAGGCAAAACGGAAGCCTCTGGAACCCAGACGTGGACAGTAAGTGTGATGCCAGCGCTCTTTGAGGTAGTCCGTCAGTGTCCTGAGCCCTCCCCTCCTGGCAGCATGAGGAACTGAGTGAGGAGACCCCCACCCCCTGCCTCAGAACTGTCCTGGGTTCATTTCCTTCCTGACTCTGGGACACATGGCTTCAGAGTCCTTTTCTTGGGGAGCTGAGTTCTTGCCTCTCCACAGACTCAGAAAGGAAGGGCTTCTTTTCTTAGGTCACTGCTCTGAAGGGTGAAAGTGGGTGATTTGTGCATGGGTGGTGGGGTGCTCTGGACAGGAATCGTGAGCCCTAAGTTCAGGGTCTGGCTTAGCCTCTGACTTGGCTGTGTGACCCTTTACTTCTCCGAGCCTCCACTCCCTTTTTGCTACAAATCGGGTGCTTCTGTGAATAGAAATGTATTTCACATTGCCACTTGCCCTACTCCTCCTCCTCCTCCTCTAACTGACAATAACCTTGGGCTGGTGGATGGATGGGTGGCCAGGTGGTGAGGTGAGGTGTGCCAGGCTATTTGCCATGAGTTAGGGGAGGAGTAAAGTGGGCAGGCAGCTTGGCGTGTGAAAGGTGCTCTCTGGTGCTGGCCAGACGTGAGATGGGATTCTAGTGGGGTCACTGATTAGGCTTGTGTCCTAGTTAAGCTGGAAACATATCAGTGAAGTGGGAGAAGCAGCAGTATTTCTGAGTGCAGATGGAGCAAGTGTCTAGTACAGAACAAGCACTCAATCAGCTGGGTCCTCCCTGGGGAGATGGTTCAGGAAGGGAAAGGGCTTTGGAAATGAGGAAAATAACACCTTTTTTCTCTTAACACAGGGCACTCAGTTTGGCCAGTGGGATACTGCTGGTTTTGAAAACGAAGAACAGAAGCTGAAATTTCTCAAACTTATGGGCGGCTTTAAAAATCTGTCCCCTTCATTTGGCCGCACCCCTGACACGACCAGGAGGCCTAACATGGCGCTGGACAGGACGGCGGCCAGCAGCCTGCAGCAGAGCCTGCAGCAGGACTACACGCGGGCCCTGAGCTGGAAGCATGGCGGGCGCGCGGGCCTTGGCTTCGCCACCCCAAACAAAGTCTTCTATATCGACAGGAACGCTTCCAAGTCCATCAAGTTTGAAGATTAAACTCTACTGTCTTGTCTCCTGAGTCAAAATTGCTTTTGTTACTCAGTTACACAGATGAGAGCCTCTGACCAGCTCCTGCGAAGGTTAAGGAAGACTCTGGATGTGCTGGACGGCCTGGGTGGGGGCAGCTCATGGTTCAGGAGCTGAGAAAACATGCGAGTGGCCAAAATCCACTATTTTCTGTGCAAAGCCCTCCGTCCCTGATTGAAGACACCACTGTGTATAAATAACAGCTGTTTGTTGAAGACTTAGATGTGCCAGGCACATACTAGCATGTCTTACTTGCATTGATGTATTTAATTTTAACTATGCAATAGGTGCTGTTTTCGTCCCCATCTTATAGATGAGGAAACTGAGGTTCAGGGATGAAGTAATAACATTGTCCAGGGTCACCCAGCTACTAAGTGCCAAGTGTACTTTTGTACCTCAAGCCCTACATTCACTGCTCTGGATGTCCCCCTCTGGGCATTTCTCCCAGAGTACTCACTGGGGATGAAAAGACCTGATCGAAGGAACAGAAGTCTATTACATGTCTAAATCTCAGAGAGGAAGTGGAGTTAGTGATAAGTAGAATAACAAGCTCACTTTCCTTTCCTGTCTCAGAGTAGCTGTAGGCAAGTAAGTATCTGAATTGCCACCAAGCAGGTGTGGCTGCCCCATGCGCTGTGGGGACCATGTCCCAGCCTGAACTCCATAGCCAGTCTCAGAGCCCTAGGAACAGAGACCCAAGTGACGTGACATTTTCACATCATTTGGCTGCATGCCTCCTGCACACACCATTCGGGCAGGCCTACATGGCCAGGAGAGTCCGTCTCCGATGGCAGGAAGTCCCGATAGAGGGGTAGACCCAGCATCTCACCAGAGAACCGTTCTTTCCTCCCTGCTCCATCAGTGGCTCCTCAGATCGGTGGAGGGATGGCCATAGCAATTCCAGGCAGCTCATCAAGAAACTAGAACATTCCAGAGGAAGATGGAAACCCTGTGGCCCCCTGACACGGAGGAAGGTGCTCCTCAGGCCAGCCAGCCAAGAGCATTGAGGACGGATGCTGGCGGGAGGAGCAGGGGCAGAGGTAAGGCAGGCCTGCCAGGGCTCTGGCGAGCAAGCATTGGCCAGGTCAGGAGCCCTACAACTCTGCCCTGGCCAGTGCTGATCAGTGGTTAGAGCATCGGCCTGTGCATTGAAAGGTCACGGGTTTGATTTCAGGTCAAGGCCAGGTACTTGGATTTTAGGTTCCATCCCTGGCCTGGTTGGGGAGCATGCAGAAGGCAACCAATCTATGTCTCTCCCCCACTCCCCTCCCCTCCCTCTCTGTCCCTTCCACTCTCTAAAAAAAAATCAATGAAAAATATATTCTTGGGTGTAGAAATCAGCTTTGCTGGGCCAGGCCACATGACAGTAGCTCTGGTGTATGTATGATCCACCTACTCAGGTTTCGGAATTAATTCTGTTTGAAGTGTACAGCCTCAACATAGAAGTAACTTTTTCAGGCACATAATTTGTGATTTTGTGAATTTTTTCATTTAAATAGTATCGTAGTAAAAGTGGTATTGGAAATAATTTTGCAAAATAAAGGCCACTTGGGGGTGTTTGGGCGATGCAACATGCTCTGAATTTCTGTGTATTTTGTTCCAGGAAGGGCATTCTTTGGTACCTGCTGTTTAGTGGACGCCATTTCTCATCAGAAGTCCTTGTGGGTGGAGATGTAACTATTAGCCAAAAAGTCTACAGTATGTTCTTGGTAGTGAACTGTTAAAATATTAGTTTATATAAATTTATTTTTAAAATTAGCCACTTTTACTGAGATTGGCTGTGTGAATTGTAATCATGAGTTTCACAGGGTGGAGACGAATGTAATCTATGTCGAGCACAATAATTTGGGTGCTTTTAATCTACAACTTTGATGCATTATCTTCAACAGCCAATCAATATTAATACTCTTATTGATTCAATCACATGCTATTTAGAATTATGGCTGCACAGAAAACTAGGCAATATGTTCAGAAACATTCTCCTTCTGGATGAAATGAGAGTCAGAAGTAATGAAATGAACAGCCATGAACGTAAATATCCCTTCAGGAGGTTTATTCCATTATTACAGAACATGTTCAAAATCCAATCAAGAGCTGCTTTTTGATAGAAAAATCTTTTTTGAGCCTGCCTTTTATAAATCCTCCAGGGTTCTGTAGGCAACGTTTAATTACAAACTCAAATTAGGGAGAGCAAACAGTGCCTCTTTTAAGGTTCTTTTTCCAATTTAAAAAAAAAAAAAGACACCCCACCCCCCGAAAAGAAAGATGTTACTTGTATCCCACTCAGTGAACAAGATGGGATTTAATGCTCTTACAATGCCACTTCTTCAGAATAACCTGGGTAGAGGCCAAAGCTTAAGCCAACTGTCTATGTAAAAAGAAAGTAAAAAGCAGGTGTTTTCTGGATTTGGCACCAGAGCCTCTGGGGCAAAATCATGTCCTTGTTTGCAAAGGAAGCCTAAGGGCCAGCTCAGTCAGATGAGTCATGTCTGGTTGTTCCCCTCGCTTCTTGATGTACTCCAGAGTTTTCACCTGGGAAGAAAAGGAAGGACTCATCTTTCTGTTCATAATTCCCTATCCTCAGAGCCAAGGCTGCAACAAACCAGCCATGCTGGGACCTTCTAATTTTTTCTTAGCAGAGGACAGGTCAAGTCTTTGGAGGACAAGGGAGGAAAAGAAACCCAGCAATATCCTATATAATAAAAGCCCAGCGACCAAAACGGTGGAACGACCAGAGACCAGAACACCATGGCCCCTTGCCCAGGCTGGCCCCACCCCCTAGGGAGTGGTTAGGGGCAATCAGGCAGGCAGGCAGAGGCAGTTAGGAATGATCAGGCAGGCAGGCGAGTGGCTAGGGATGATCAGGCAGGCAGGCGAGTGGCTAGGGATGATCAGGCAGGCAGGCAGAGGTGGTTAGGGACAACTGGGCAGGCAGGTGAGTGGTTAGAAGCGATCAGGTAGGCAGGCAAGTGGTTAGGGGCAATCAAGCAGGCAGGCGAGTGGTTAGGGGTGATCAGGCAGGCAGGTGAGCAGTTAGGAGCCAGTGGTCCCGGATTGCGAGAGGGTGCAGGCAGGCTGAGGGACTACCTCCCATCCTGACCCCGCGCCATGCACGAATTTTGTGCACCAGGCCTCTAGTCTTTACATAAAACCTCTTGGGTTACCAACTGCCCTTAAATCCATTTGGATTTGAACATGAATGACTGATCTTTTAATATGTGTAGTTTTTATTCAGAGGGAATAAACTTTCAATGTTGTTATATTTTATAGAGCAAGGAAAGGACCCTGCAGAGATCTGGGACCTAGCACCTCTAGGAGGGGAAGCAGGGCTCTTGGATTCCTGGCCCCGATGCTGTGCTGCACCAGCTATGCTCTGGCCAGGAGGCTCAGGTAGCTCACCACACCCCCCGGGCCCCAGGGGTGTGGGGGCCCCCTTGAGTCTCACCATGGTCCTGGTGTCCGCATAGCCATGCCTCTGGGCCAGGTGCCACAGGTTGACAGAGAGCTGGTTGAGCCTGTTGTTGCGCAGATCCCCATGGGCCAAGATGCTGTTAAAGAAGGAAAGACCCAACAGGCTTTGGCGCTTCAGGGCCTGGAACAGAAAAGGGAGGTTACTGTCTGGCACTGGCCAGGGCTGGGGCCAGTGGTGATGCTGGCCTGGGTCAAATGCCAGCTCTGCCACGGGCCTCCTGGAGGGCAAGCTGACTTCCCTCCCAAGTCCAGCTTCTGTGCTGGAGGCACAATGTCACAGCCAGGGGAAGGGGCGAGTGAGATGAGGTATGTAAAGCCCTGCTGCTTTGGAAAAGTGAAACGATCATTTGCAGATGACACAGCTATAGAAAGCGAGCCCTGAAGACCCCACTGAGACACGGTTAGAGCTGACAATGAATTCAGTAAAGAAGCAGGACACAACATTTGCATCAAAAAATAAATTTTACCACAGAGGTGAAAGCCATGTACTTGGAAAACATTGTTACACAATGAAGAAATTGAAGACACAAATGAATGGAAGCATAACTGCTCATGGATAGGAAGAAGTACCATTAAAATGTCATACTACCCAAAGCAATCTATACATTCAAAGCAGTTCCTATCAAAATACCAATGGCATTTTTCACAAAACTAGGACAAATAATCCTAAAATTTATATGGGATCCCAAAAGACCCCAAATAGCCACAACAATCTTGAGAAAGAAGAACAAAATGGAGGAATCACATTACCTGATATCAAACTACACTACAAGGCCATAGGAACCAAAACAGCATAGTACTGGCATAAAATAGATATACAGATCAATAGAACAAAATAGAGCCCAGAAATAAACCCACACCTTTATGGCCAATTAATATATGAAAAAGGAGGTAAGAACATGCAATGAGGTAAAGACTGTCTCTTCAATAAATGGACAGATATATGAAAAAACCACTTTCTTATATCATGTACAAGAATAAGCTCCTTGACCCCCTCCTCTCCACTCCTGCCCCACTCCGCAGGCCTACATCACACTATTATCTGTGTCCATGGGCTATGCATATCCTATATAATAAAAGCCTAATATGCTAAGTATCTGGTTGGGCATTCAACCAATCAAAGCATAATATGCTAATGATATACTAAGGCTGCTCAACCACTTGCTATGACATGCACTGACCACCAGGGGGGCAGACAGTTGACTGGTCAACTAGTCGCTATAACGTGCACTGACCACCAGGGGGTAGACAGTCGACCGGTCGACCAGTCGCTATAATGTGCACTGACCACCAGGGGGCAGACGCTGCGACCAGGTTAACTTGCTGCTGGGGTCCGGCCAATCGGGACTAAGCGAGACAGGTTGGACATGCCCTGGAGCCCTCTTACAGTCCCTCCCTGGCCCCAATTGTGCACCAGTAGGGTCCCTCAGCCTGGCCTGTGCCCTCTTGCAATCCAGGACCCCTTGGGGATATCAGAGAGCCAGTTTCAGCCCGACGGTAGAAGAACTGGTCTCTATGACACGCATTGGCCACCAGGGGGAAGACGCTCAAGGCAGGAGCTGCCCCCTGGTGGTCAGTACTCTCCCACAGTGGGAGCACCACTCAGCCAGACGCCGGGCTCACAGCTGGTGAGCGCAGTGGCAGTGACGGCAGCCTCTCCCGCTCCGCGGCAGCACTAAGGATGTCCACCTGCCGGCTTAGGCCCACTCAAGATCTCCTAAAGACTCCAGGACTGCAAGAGGGCGCAGGTTGGGCTGAGGGATCCTCCCCCCCCCCCCCCGCCCCCCAGAGCACAAATTTCATGCACCAGGCCTCTAGTATGCATATAAGTTCTTTGTTTAATCTCTTCCTGTTTCCCCATCCCCTTCCCTCTGAGAATTATTAGTCTGTTTCATGTTTCCATGTCTCTGGATCTATTTTGTTTGTCAGTTTATTTTGTTCATTAGATTCCACATATGAGTGAGATCATGTGATACTTGTCTTTCTCTGATTTGCTTATTTCACTTAGCATAATACTCTCCAGGTCCCTCCATGCTGTCTCAAAGGGTAAGAGATCCTTCTTTTTTACTGCTGCATAGTTTCCTGGGTGTAAATGTGCCACAGCTTTTTTATCCACTCATTTACTGATGGGCACTTGGGCTGTTTCCAGATCTTAGCTATTGTAAATAATGCTGCTATGAACACAGGGGTGCATACATTCTTTCTCATGGGTGTTTCAGGTTTCTAAGGATATATTCCTGGAAGTGGGATCACTGAGTTAAATGGCAGACCCATTTTTAATTTTTTGAGGAAACTCCACACTGTTTTCCTAATGGCTGCACCAGTCTGCAGTCCCACCAGCAGTGTACAAGGATTCCCTTTTCTCTTCATTCTCACCAGTACTTATTGCTTGTTGATTTATTGATAGCCAAAGTGTCTATTCAGGTCCTTTGCCCAGTTTTTGATTGTATTGTCTGTCTTCCTGGGCTGAGTTGTAGATGTTTTAATGTATTTTGAAAATTAGCCCTTATCAGATGTATAATTGCCAAGTATGTTCTCCCTACAGTGGGCTCCCTTTTCACCTTGTTGGTGGTTTCCTTCCTGAGCAGAAGCTTTTTAGTTTGATGTGGTCCCATGTGTTTATTTTCTCCTTTGTTTCTCTTGCCCGAGGTGCTGTCACCAGTGAAAATTCTGCTCCATGTGATGTCTGATACATTGTTGCCTACATTTTCTTCTAGGATTTTTATGGTTTCCTGACTTACATTTAAGTCCTTTATCCATTTTGAGTTTATTCTTGTGTATGGTGTAAGTTGGTGGTCTAGTTTCTTTTTGTTTGCATGTAGCTGTCCAAATTTCCCAATGCCATTTATTGAAGAGACTGTCTTAACTCCATTGTATGCTCTTGCCTCCTTTGTCAAATATTAATTGAGTGTAATGGCTTGGGTCGATTTCTGGGGTCTCTGTTCTGTTCCATTGATCTATATGCCTATTCTTGTGCCAGTACCAGGCTGTTTTCATTACAGTGGCTTTGTAACATAGCTTGAAATCTGGTATTGTGATCCCTCCAACTTTATTCTTCTTTCTCAAGATTGTTGAGGCTATTCGGGGTCTTTATTCAATTGACAGCTCAATTTTGAAAATGAAATGTGTTTTATTTTATTTTTTAAAAAATATATTTTATTGATTTTTTACAGAGAGGAAGGGAGAGGGATAGAGAGTTAGAAACATCAATGAGAGAGAAACATCGATCAGCTGCCTTCTGCACACTCCCCACTGGGGATGTGCCTGCAACCAAGGTACATGTCCTTGACCGGAATTGAACCTGGGACCCTTGAGTCCTCAGGCTGATGCTCTATCCACTGTGCCAAACCGGTTAGGGCTGAAATGTGTTTTAATAAGCACTGCCTTTATAATTATTCAAAGTGTGTGTACATCTTCTTTTGGGGGACACCCTATATATAAGACCTAGAACCATAAACTTATTAGAAGGAACCATCGGCAGTAAACTCTTTGACATTTATCTTAGTTATTTTTTTTTTTTTTTATAGATATGCCTTCTTAGGCAAGGGAAACGAGAAAAAATAAACAAATGGGACTACATCAAATTTAAAAAGTTTCTGCACAGCAAAGGAAACCATCAACAAAACAAAAAGACAACCCACTGAATGGGAGAAAATATTCTCCAATGATATATCCAATAAAGAATTAATATCCAAAATTTATAAACAACTCATATAACTTAACACCAAAAATCCATTAAAAAATGGGCAGAGGACCTGAATAGACATTTCTCTAGATGACACTG